CGGGAAGACAGGCTTAGAGAACTGGGACTGGAGGAGGCTGACTGGACCCAGCAGCTGCCATGCACTCAGCTATCGGATCAGGGGGACCCCATCCTGTCTGAAGGCACCCCTTTCCCCCAGGCTTCGGAGAATCGCCAGAGGCATTGCCAGAGGCAATTCGATGGCAGCTCTGAGACCCAAGCGGGGTGTAGGCGGAGCAACAGTCCTGACTCAGGGTTCCACAAACAGGTGCCCTCCATCCAGGCTACCTCCTCTCAATACCCCCCAACCTGCTCGATATTTCCTGGGGCACCCCGTCATTTCCTGCTTGGTTTTGTACGCTGTTTGTCTCCTTCCACACAGAAGCCTTGTGAAGTTAGGAGCTCTGTCTCCTTCGCCACGTATGGATACTCACCAGTGCCTAGGTAATGCCGGCTCATGGCGGGGCCCCAAGTGTACAGTGAAGACAGGCCAGGCCAGCGGGAGCTTCAGGAGGTCCCGTCCTGCCATCCTCCTGTGGGGACACCACTTTGCTGTGCCTTTACTCTCGGGGTTCCAGCGTCTGTAACGTGGGCTCAGCTTCATGCTCACATCTCACACCTCCCTCTTGCTTGTTGCATTTGCCACTGGGTGGGGTGTGCTTGTTAGACCCTCCAGAGCCTCTGAACTGTGCACAGAGCATGGCTGGTACCATGTTATTAGGTTTCTGTGGTCCTTGAAATCTCACTGACCCAACGAGCTTAAAATCCACTAGTAAACCTCTTGTTTCAAAACTAAAGGCCCAGTACATGAAAATTCATGCACTGGAGGGACTCTCACAGTCTGGGAGCCCTTAGGAGCGGGAGACCACTGGCAATCAGGGGAAGACGACACCCTATCACACCTTTGCTGCTGCCACTGCCAGCAGTGCAAGCCTCAGCTGGCCCTGGTTACCTGAGCCTCAGACAGGCCTGGGCAGCTGGGCAGCTGACATCTGAGGCTTACCTGAGCCTCGGGCCAGCTCTGGGCAATTGGGAGGCTGAAGGGACTGAGGACTCCAGAGGCAGGCACACGGCAAGGCTGCCTCAGTGGGGCTAAGGGAACTGGGCACCGTCATCTTGTGGCTGTGGGCATCACCATCTTTGAGGGCATGACAGTCAATTAGCATATTCCCTCCTTATTGGCTATAGGCACTGCCATCTTTGAGGGCAAGGCAGCCAATTAGCATACTCCCTTTTCATTAGCTAGGATCATAAGGGCTAAGTGCTGTGTGGTGTCCTGGTGCGTATCCAGGAGCAGAAGGGGCGTTGGTGAGAAAACCAGTGGGTCTAATTCCAGCCTGGGCTCAGTGGTGTCCACGTTACGTCCTGAGGGTGCATGCAGGTGCCCGAGCTGTGAAGGCAGATGCCACAGGAAGCCAGGGGGCAGGTTCACAGGCCCTGTATGACTTTCACACAGCTTCTGGGAACCGTAACTTTTCTGAAATGAAAGCATTAGAAGCGAACAGGATGCCCGCGGTGGGGTGCATGTTGGGAGTTAATGCAAACAAAGAGTCACAGAATCAGGCTCCGCACCGGGGGAGGGGTGTCAGGGGGATTCCAATTCACCCCAGAACAAGGTCCTTGCCCCATAGACCAGGATGTAAGGCCAAGGAGGCAGCCATTGGAAAACCAGCAGAACACCACGTTAACTAGAGGGGCTGTTCCCCAGCCCTCCTTTCCGTGGTACTTCAGTCATTAAACATTCCTCCTGCACACCTTCCCCTGCCCCTTCGTTCATGGCCCAGATGTTTATTATCTCAAACTGCCAGACCCAGGAAAGTGACCCTGAGGGACATACAGTCTCTGCAGAGTCACTCACAGTCGAATCGCATTTGATCTTCGCAGCAGTCCTGGGGGTGAGGGGGGACAGGCATTGCTGTTTTCCGTGTGTTTGGTACGAGGGGCGAGGGGCTGTGGCTCAGAAGTGTTGGGGCTCGCCTGCTCACAGCGTGACCGTGGTGGAGCCTAGGCCGGCGGCTGGGGCACTGCGCTATGGGCAGAGATTGTTATTCTTGGATCCCATAGTGGGTGCCGGGCTAAAGAAAGCATCACCTGCGCTTGGGGTGACCCCTGAGGACCAGGAGTCTGAGTGTCAGAGAGCAGCCAGCTTCCCCTCGACATCCCTCCCCGGAGGACAGCAATCCTGGGGAAGCTCTGCAAACTGGGGTCCTGGCTGAGCCCGTGAGGACAGCTGAGGTTCATGGCTCCGGAACGGGATTTGTTCCTGTCCAGGTACTTGTCAGACAGTCTTCCCAGTCAGTAAGGGACTGCCAGAGCCAGATACCTCTATGTGAGTGTGTGCCTGTATGTGTGTATGTGTGTTTCTTTGCGGTTTACTGAAATAATGAAAAGATTATGAATTTTGGAGTCAAACAAAGCAATTCCCAAAAAGGCAGACCGACTACTCCCTGTAGGCAAGACATGTCAACCCTCTAGCTGCTGCCTCTGCACAGACCAGGCCCGGGCTGTGAGGTTAGAGGACGTGATGGATACCCATCACTGCTCCGTGTCCTCCAGCACTTCCCCAGCCTCTCCGAACCTGTGTGTCCTGAGCACCAAACGGTGCTGAGCGTGGAGCATGGACTCTCTGTTTAGTTGGTGAAAATAATTAATGTACAGACAAGGCCTGGCACCTGTGAGTTCTTGGTGAAGTTGCTGACCCTCTAGTATGACTACACTGTGGGAACTGAAATCCCAAGAGACCCCTAGGACAGCGCCGGGAAATCATAAAGCTGAGGTATATACAAGTGGCTAGGTTATCCACGCCTGGTGTGTAGTATTTAGTTTGGGGAGCAGACAGTCCGGTTACGATCTAGAGATACTGTGTGTGCAGCAGGAGTGCCCTGAGCAGCTCTCACACCTTCGGGGAGACACCGAGGTGGGCGACACCTCTTGGTTTCAACAAAGGTGGGACCAATCGATGCCCTGGGGCTCCAGCGGCCAAGCCTGCGGCCCTGCACGGCCCGGGATGCTCTCGGGACTTAAGAGCCTCTCCCAAGACCGTCTGGGTCTCCCGGGCCTTTGGAAGCCTCCATGCGTTATGGGGCTGAGCTGGTGCCAGGGAGGATCTGTATGTCTCTCCGCCCTGCTCTGTGTCCCTCCGCCCAGGTGGCTCCTGCGTCCCCCTCTTGAAACCTGGTAGACAGGCAGCAGACCGAAAGCCTGGACGTGGAGAAGGGAGCAGGGCTCTTACCCTATGCCAGAGGGGGTGGGACTGCAGAGAGGGGAGGACTGCAGGGACTGGGGACTGCAGGAAGGGGGGACTGCAGGGATGGGGGGACTACAGTGAGGGGGGACTGCAATGAGGGAGGACTGCAGGGACTGGGGACTGCAGGAAGGGGGGACTGCAGGGATGGGGGGACTGCAGGGACTGGGGACTGCAGGAAGGGGGGACTGCAGGGATGGGGGGACTGCAGGGACTGGGGACTGTAGGAAGGGGGACTGCAGGGATGGGGGGACTACAGTGAAGGGGGGACTGCAATGAGGGAGGACTGCAGGGACAGTGAGACCGCAGGACGGGGAGGGAGGTCGCGGAGAGCACCAGTTTGTGCACCTGCTCCCCTCAGACACTCTGAGAGCTGTGTACCGGCCTCCCCCTCACTCGCTGCTGGAACAGGGCCCGAACAGACCACTGCCCCATTGTCCGGCCCCCACAACCCCTTCGGAGCAGGGGAGATACTCCTGAGGGATGTGAGCGATGGAAGCGTGAATGAGGGCAGGGGGCTGTGCACACCCTGATTCGAGATGTGGATCTAGAGCTGAGCTCCCTGACACCCAGGCTCATGGGCACCGAGGACCAGGCCCTCCCTCTCTTCTCTCAGCACGAAAGCACAGCAACCACTAGAGAGCAGCCGGAACGCGTGTGCTGAGGGAAGGATGGACGGTTCGGTGCACATTTAAAGGTATAGGTGAATGAATGTACAGACGGACAACACATGGAGGAACAGGACAGGTGCTTGCTGGCCAGGGACAGCAAACATAGTCAATGTCCAGGTTTGTCGTTGGCTTCACACACATCTGTGTGTCCCCCAGGCACCTTCCACCCATCAGCACAGGCACCTCTTCCTTTACCTGCGGTATTTTCTGGAAACTGAACTTGGGAAACAGGGCTGCATTCTAGCAGAGGTCAGCCAGGCCATGGCCTGTGGCAAGTGGGCGGGTCCCCGAGGCTCTGAGAGCAGCACCCTCTTCCCATGGAAAGAGCTGGAAAGAGCGGCCAGCTGGGATCGGGCAGGAGAGGAGAGGGCAGCTTGGGAGACGGAGGGAGGGAAGAGGTGAGCCAGTGCTGAGTCAGGAAGGGGCTGTGCAGACCCTGGGCCGAGTCCTAGACCTGCAGCCCCGCCCCGGGCAGCGCAGTGAGATGCCTGGGCCGCAGGCAGGGCTGTGGACGGGAGCAGGGAGACTTCTGTGAAGACTCAGACTCCCGTCATCGGTAGCGAGGGGACTCCTGGGTAAGGAAGAGCCCCGGGGTGTGTGTGTTCCCAGCTCCCCACCGGCTGCCCCTGCCCAGCCCTCTCCAGGGAAGGGGCGCCCTGTGCTCCAGGCTCTGCTCCTGAGCAGAAGGAAAGGTCATGTGGAGGTCACCATTCTCTGCCTTTCTCTTTTCTTCTTTTATTTTACACTCAAGCAAAATGAAGTTCATTATCTTTTACTTTAAATGGCACGAATAATAAGACAGTCTTGCATTTGTAAATTCTAGATGCCTCCACATTCACCCTTGTATGCATTCCTCCACCTCACAATGTGTTCACTGGGGGCTATCAGGGGCTGCGTTCCTCAATTTCCTTCCGTTGAAAAAGTCTGCATCATTTGAATTTTAATGGTGAGCATATGTCATTTCTACAAATTCAGCGAAGTCTTTATTGTTTGCATAAACATGGAATGAATTGTCAGGGATCCAGGTCAGTGAGAGAGCGGCTGGCTGGGCCTCGGTGGGAGCCGGCCTAGAAGGGCTGCTGGCATGGCACTGTCACTGGTTCACCGGGTTTTCCTTCTCTCCAGGTACCAGACCTGCTCCAACAACGGGCTGGTGGCCGGCTTCCAGAGCCGCTACTTCGAGTCGGTGCTGGATCGGGAGTGGCAGTTCTACTGCTGTCGCTACAGCAAGAGGTGCCCCTATTCCTGCTGGTGAGCTGGGCCCAACACAGCCCTCCTGACTCCCGGGGCTTGGGGAGCATATGGGGAGCGAGGGGGGGAGGCGTGCTCTGCTCCAGGCTCTGCCTTCACATAGGCCCGGCACAACAGACTTCAGATCTAGCATAGATCTAGCATGGATGGGTGGGTGGATGGGTGAGTGGATGGATGCATGAATGGATGGATGGGTGAATGAGTGAATGAATGAACTAATCAACCAACCAACCAACCAATGAAAAGGCTAGAAGAACGTTCACACTGGGAGGGGCCTCACAGGTCATCCACCCAAAATTCCCACAACCTTCTTTTAGTAAAAGAAAAAAAGAAGAAGGAGGAGGAGGAGGAGGAGGAGGAGGAGGAGGAGGAGGAGGAGGAGGGGAGGAGGAGAAGGAGAAGAAGGAGAAGGAGAAGGAGAAGGAGAAGGAGAAGGAGAAGGAGAAGAAGAAGAAGAAGAAGAAGAAGAAGAAGAAGAAGAAGAAGAAGAAGAAGAAGAAGAAGAAGAAGAAGAAGAAGAAGAAGAAGGAGGAGGAGGAGGAGGAGGAGAAAAGGAAGGAAGGAAGGAAGGAAGGAAGGAAGGAAGGAAGGAAGGAAGGAAGGAAGGAAGGAAGGAAGGAAGAAGATACATACAGAACAATAGAGTAAGGAAGTCACCTGGCTGCTGCCTGGGGGTCTCTGGGGGGAGAGGGAGAGGCATGACCTTTGCTCCAGTGCCCCTCCCTCCATCACACCGACTTCCCATCAGACAGAGGCTGTGGACCGGACTGAGAACCGAGCTTTTTCTGCTGATCACAGCTCAGATCTGCAAACATGTACATAATTACAGACACCCATAAAGAGGTTCTCTTTTCTAGATCAATCTGCAATCCTAGTCTGAGGCTTTGTTCCCTCTCATTCCCAGGGCTATCGCCAATGTCCATGCCAGCGCCACGCTGCCTGCAGAGAGAAGGCTGTGCATATAATTCCCGGATAACCACCCTGGGTGTTGAAGCACACCTTGCCCCAGGCCCCCGTGTGCAGACACCAGGCATGGCTGCCTGGGACCGGGGAGTCGCAGTCAGCTTGGCAGGTGGCTCTCCTCATGGTCTGTCTCTACGCGGTGAGGCCTCCAAGGGCGGCCGCGCAGGCTGTGCGTGTTCTCTGAGACCAGGCCGCCTGGCTCCAGGGTCCCAGGGGCACACTGTCCCTAGCACAGGCAGCCCCCAAAGCTGAGCGTGTTTCTGGAAAGTTCTGAGCCCGCAGCAGCTGAGGCAGTGCTGGTGATGGAGTGGCTGGGTGATGGCGAGGGCTGCCTCCAGCTCTCCGAGGTGCTCCATGGCCCACAGAGCCGGGAGGCCGGAGTGTAGGCTGGAACTGCCAATCCAAGACAGACTCCTGCATCAGAGACAGGGGTTTCCTGAGGCAGGTACAGGGGCAGGGGTGCCACTGAGCCTGGGCCCCTCCTCTCCCTCTCCTCCTCCTCCTTCCTCCTCCTCTCCCCTCATACCTGGCTCATCTCCAGGAAGACCCTTTCCTTTCTGAGGGGCTCAAGTCTGTCACTTAGAATGGCGGCCACCTGTCTGGCCATAAGAATCAGGAGGAAGAGAAGGCACCGAGCACGCTCACACTCGCTCACAGAGCTTCCGGGCATGCTCGGGCCCACGCTGACACCCGGGACTAGAGACCGTGGAGGCTGTATGGCGCCCTAAAATGTTGCAACCCCAAAGGCACAAAGGTGAACCCCAGGGCAGGCCAGACACCCAGCCTGCCTGTAAGTCAGGATGAAGGTCCTGAGGACCAGGCCATTGAGAGGGGGGAGGAGAGCCTGTGACCTCAGTGGCTAAGCCTTCAGGAACCTTCTCTCCCCTGCCCTGCCCCAGGGCTAGGCTAGCAGCCGGCCTCCCTCGGGGAGGTCAGCCTCCCTCTGTTACCAGGCGCCACGCAGTTTGCATGTAAACAGCGTGTCTGGGAGAGTGAGACACGAAGGAGCACCCGGTCAGCTCATCCATCACCCGGTCCGTTCATCCATCACCATGCTGGGCAGACCCGCCCTTCGGCGGCTCCAAAGGGAACCACATGGCTGGGCACGCGGAGCCGTCCCGGGGGGTGTGTTCTGGGAGGATGAGAACGGGGTGAAAGAGAAGTCAGCCTTGAGGGAGGCAGGGACGCTCCGGGCAGCGGAGGGCTGGGGTGGGGCCTGTCTGCTGCCCCCACGGGGCGCCTGGGCCTCCGCTGAGCGCACTCCCTCCGAGGGCGTGGGCAGGTGCTGCCCACTGCACTGGGCACTTTGGAGGACACGAACCTCGATCATGTCCGCGATGCCTAACCAGCGCCAGAGCGCAGGGTCTGCTCGGTAAGCATCTGATGGATGTTGGAGCCGGGGCTTCGGGGCAGGGGAGGAGAGGGGGTGCAAAATAAGGTGGAGAGACCTGAAATGCATCGTTTACTTGTGAAGTCTGCCTCCCCGCCCCTTTTGCCCTAGTCGCACAAGCAGAGTCCCTGAGTGGTGCAGGCACACAGCAGGCACGCAGCATCTGAGTGGATGGGTGACTTCAGCCTGCTCCCAGTGTTGTGGTGGGGATGAAATGAGAGCCATCTGCCTGGTGCTGCCCCTGGCTTGGGGGGCGCAGTGCTGGCCTGTCTGGCAGCCAAGGTCCCTGGCTTAGGGAGCGCAGTGCTGGCCTGTCTGGCGGCCGAGGCCCCTCCCTCCCAGCTGCTGCGAGAGCCTGCTCCTCACCTCCTTGCAGGCCTGTGAGGGGTCACACGACCTTGCAGGAAACAGAGCCAGTGACTGGAGCTGGTTGTACAGAGGAACGAGGAGCCGTCCACTGGACAGTGTGGTGGGGTGTCCTGACACCTCCCAGGTAGAGGAGGGGGCTGGGGCAGCTGCAGGGTCAAGGCTGTGAGGCCTGAGGCCTCTGCCCAGACCAAGGCGAGAGCGGCCCCCTGGGGGGCGTCGCACTGTCGCTGGCTGGCCACGGGCCCCTGGCCCAGGAGAGAACATGGGGCGTGGATAAGGCCGAGGCTTTGGAGGTGAGGCGGGCAGGACATAGGCTCATGGTGTTAGGAAAGTTGTCAGGCTCGGTGTGGGGGTGAATTGAGCCGGGTCACTGTATTCTGTAGCTTCTGCTCCATGTCTCCACCCCCAGCACCACTGCCTCGAGCTGCTCCTGTGTGTTTGGCTTGGAGCCTAAAAGACTCCCGGGTCTTTGTGTCTCCATATTTCTGACTTTCCCAAGATGCCCCAGGCTTGGGATCCCTGGGGCTGGTCCCCACCATCCTTTAGAGACCACTTGTCAGGTTCCCCCACAACAGCCCACCAAGCAAAACACTGAGGACCAAGGCCAGACGAACACGGAGCTCTGTGCCCGGAAACAGCCCTGGCTCACTGGCTGGCGGAGGGTGAGCAGCTTTCCTGAGGTTCCTGAGGCTCAGGTGATAATACTGGCCCTTGGCCTGCCCACCCCACCCTCACCCCTCCCAGCCTTGGTCAGCCTGCCCCACCGCCCAGGCAGGCCCGAAAGGTCAAGAACCAGAAGATGGGCCGGGGCGGAGGGGGAGGGGAGACAGAACCGCTTAGAAAGGCAGGAAAAGCCCCTTTGCAGCATGCCCCACCCCCAGGACGGCTCCCCCGTTGCCTCTCTCCTGGGCATGGGTGTTAGAGATGGACGCTGCCATGGTTACCAAGGAGAACGGTGCTTCATCGCAGGGCAGCTGGGAGGAGCCACGGAACGGGTTGCAGCGGCACCTGTGTGCAGCACCCCTGGGTGTCTAGACATTTCGGGGCCTCTCAGACAGCCGAGTCCAGCATTACGCGTCTTTCTAATGAACGTGGCCCCCAGCATCCATGAGACCTTTTTCTCCAGCACCTCAGCATGCTGCTGGCCCACAGCAGCCCCTTCGTAAATGTCTGCAGTGAGTAAGCCTGCGGCAGTTTCCTAGGAACGGTAACCATGGTGACCCTGACACGGATGCGGTGTTGCTTTGTACTGAAAAGGATTTCTTTCACCGGCACTGTTTTCTCTGACTCTTTGACAACCCTCCTGAGTGTGAACTGTTTTCCCACACTTCCCAGGGCGAGACTGCCCACAAGCCTCCCCTCCCGTGTGAAAGCGCCCCTCTCGCCCGCTCGCTGGCGGCGATGACCTGCCAGGGAGCTGGCACAGTTCTCTCTCCCCGAGAAGCTCCCCTGCAGCCGGAGCCCCGCAGTGCTGGGCGCTGGCTGAGGGAGCCTGTGTCTGCACTGGGGCATCAGGGGTCAGCAGCAGCTCGCTCTGCGAGTGAGCCCACCGCCAGCCCGTGTCACTGGCCTGGTGGGACCCCGTGTCACTGGCCTGGTGGGACCCTGTGTCACTGGCCTGGTGGGACCCCGTGTCACTGGCCTGGTGGGACCCCGTGTCACTGGCCTGGTAGGACCCAGTGCTGTGCTCACTCCAGTGGGTTCCGTTTCTCCAGACGCAGCAGCCTCGCTGCTCTCTGGCAAGAAGGCGAATTCCTGATAGATGCGAACACGCCGTCACCCGCAGCCCCACCGGCTTGGACATGTGCCGATTTTAGTGTTTATGCATGAGAATTCACATTCTTAGCCCAGCCAGTCATCGGCAAACCACAAACACGTGTCACAGCTGAGGAAGCCACAGACTTCAGAGAACGCGTGTAAGCACTTCCAATCTCCATGTAGCACCAGCCACCGCGTGAGCGCCCCGGACACCCCCACCCCCCCACCCCAACCCCCACCTACCAAGATTGTCCAGGCAGAGCCCTCCGGGGGCCAGGAACTCACCGTTTCACAGTGAGCATTGATTTTTTTTTTCTTTTTAAAATATATTTTTATTGATTTCAGAGAGGAAGGGAGAGGAAGAGAGAAACATCAATGATGAGAGAGAATCATTAATGGGCTGCCTCCTGTACCCCCTACACTGAGGATGGAGCTGCAGTGCTGGCACATGCCCTGGACTGGACTCCAACCTAGGACCCTTCAGTCCGCAGGCCAATGCTCTATCCACTGAGCCAAACTAGCTGGGGCTGAGCATCCATTTTCTACTCTAACGGCTTTTTCAGATCCAAGGCCTTCCGTTTGGCTCATTAGGTAACAGGTTGTGACCCAGAAAGTGATGCCCGTCCTCAGAATCAAACAGCCGACTTCCATTCCTCCCTCCACCTGCGATCCTCGGACTCTCGACGCTGCCTTCTCCACGCCCAGCTCCTCTCTCTCGTGCGCTGAAGTCACGGGCCAGAGAGTGGATCTGTGTAGTTCCCAGATCGCTCAGCTCACCTCGGGACAACAAACCGGAACATCCTTCTTCTCTGTCCACTCCAAGCCCCGGATCAAAGCAGAGCTCTAACTGCCGCTCCACTGCTCAGGCTGTAACACAGACGGCGGTGTTTGCCCGGCCTTTCCCCGCGGAACCTGGCAGGAGGAGAGCCACCTGCCGGCACCTGCTGGCTGCTGACTCTCCCCACTCAGGCGCCTGCGGCCCACGCTCCCAGAGGCTGCTGGGAAGCCCAGAGGCTGCTGGGAAGCCCGGCGGCCACGCTGGGTCCTCTGAGCGAGCGGAGGCTGTTAGTGTGGAGATGAGAGGCCCAGGCTTTGGGAAAGCAGGATTGGATGCTACATTTGCAGGCAGTTTGCATTGAGTGTAGATTCTCTCTCTCTCTCTCTCTTTTTTTTTTTTTTTTTTTTTTTTTTTTTTGCAGCGGCGGGGGGAGATAGCAACAGCACCCCTGAGCTTGAGCAGAAACAATTGTCCCTTTTATCGATCCGAGTAGCTGTCCCATTAATGGTGCCATATTTATTATTTACGAGGCAATTGGCTGTCTGCGAATGTGTATCAGTGATGCCTCCCTCCCTGCACTCAGCTCTACAGAGCAGACATTTCAGAAAGTATTGTCTAACCCGAGGCCTGGCCCCCCCAGCCACTGAGAACAAAGCAAACCACAGTTATAGGCCAAATCCATTCTTCACACCAACCTTGGTCCTCTCGTATCCCCTTTACTGGATTCTAGAGGCGATCACTCATTCGACCACTCATTGATTCATTGTGTCAGCCAGGGAATGGATTCAAAACAACCACAATTCATAGACTTTGAGTCAGTTCCCAATAAAAATGATAATAACTTCTATTTATTGAGCATTTACCCCAAGCTCATGTTAGCTCTGTGGTTGGCAAACTACAGCTCTGGAGCCACATGTGGCTCTTTGGCCCCTTGAGTGTGGCTCTTCTACAAAATACCATGGCCTGGGAGGGTCTATTTTGAAGAAATGGTGTTAGAAGAAGTTTAAGAAATTTGGCTCTCAAAAGAAATTTCAATTGTTATACTGTTGATATTTGGCTCTATTGACTAATGAGTTTGCCGACCACTGGGTTAGCTCATTCACTTCTCCCTCAGAAATGACGACCCTGTAACAGAGCATCATATAGAACATGCATGACACACAGAGGGAGCTGCTTGCACAATGACTTGTTCACGGTTCCCAACTCAATCCAAACAGGCCCAGCTGCCTCCAAACCCTACACTCTGTGCACAGCACTGAGTTCTCCCAATCTCGATGGGAGACCAGCCTAGAGAAGGTGGTGGGTGACAACACAACCAGCATCTCCTGTGAAAACAGGGAGGAGAGCAGTTACGTTAGCCCGAGAGGAGAGGGAGGGGCATTGTCCCTGCCAAGGTCAAAACCAGGGAGACCAAGATGGATGAGACTGATGAAAGCCAAGCAGAGTCCAAACAACTGTGCTTGTGACTGGCGTGGGCGTGGGCGGTGAGCTGGGCGCTCCGTGCCAAGACTGCAATTTGGAAAGGACTCAAGGACTCTCCTCTGCCAGGGTGAGCCTTGGTGTCTCGAGCTGGTCTCCCCGAGCTGGGATACACAGTGGAGCTGAAATGTAAATCTCCAGAAGCCGAACCAGGAAGATGTGAACACAGGCCTGCGTTCTCACACCCTCAGAGCGGGGAAGGGCGGGGGGGGGGGGGGGGGGGGGCAGGGTCTCTCTGCAGGGAAGGGCACTTCGGCGGCTGCAAATGCTGACCATTCAGCCCCATTTGGCAGCTTCCCTGGCTCTCTGGGGGGATGCCACGCCGGCTGTCCCCTTGGAGTGCTCTCCTCTGTGTCTCTGCACCTGGGGGGCAGTGTCTCATCGTTGTAAGGATAATTCTGACAGCTCCGATGCAATGCCTGCAGGCTAACCTGAAGCTTGGGCATGCCCTGTAGCTTATCTGGGAGAGCAGGTGCTTAAGGATCACAAAGGCTTGGTTTGTGCAGAAACTTCTCGGCAATCCGCCTGTCAGAAAGGGCCATCCTCTCGGTGGCCCGGAGGAGAATGCAGACCTCGATTCCACAGGAGCTGCCCACCATCCCCTCCACCCCCAGGGCCAGCACTGAGCGAGTGACAAGTGTGCATGCTGCCCAGCGCCCGTGCACCCAGATGCCCCTCCGGGAGCTCTCTCATTGGCCAGCATCACAAAGCCAGGTGCCACACAGGATGCTGCGTTTTTAGCCAAAAGTGAACGAGATGATGCCGGCAAGTCATCAACATTAGAATGGGACGTCTGATATACAGTGCTGACTGGGAAGTGGGGGAACGGGGTGCCCCCGAGGCCTAGCCTGACGCAGGCTAGGGAGCTCTCAGCTCACTCCTGTTTTGCAGGAGCTGCAGGGCGGCTCCCCGGCACCCATTCTGGCTTGTTAATGTGTGAGCAGCTGGGATCCATGGTATCGGTGATGAGTGTGCTCCAGTTTCCCGCCACGGGGTCAGTGGAGGGTGTGGCCGTGGCTGGTGTGGGGCCTGGGTGAGCCAACCGCTGTTGTGCACTGTGAGCCGCGTGGTCAGGGGGCTCCAGCCATGGCCAAGGCAGCCACCACCGGGAGCTCACCTCTCCTTTTACTTTTCCAAGCACCTTTTTATTGCGACTCACAATAACAGACACAGATTAAAGCACCACACAGTACATACATCAAAAACACACACATCATACATTTAAACCACCACATAACACATACATCATAAAACACACATCATAGATTTAAACCACCACACAACACATACATCATAAAACATACACATACAGCCCGGCCAGTGTAGCTCAGTGGTTGAGCATTGACTTAGGAACCAGGAGGTCATGGTTTGATTCCCGGTCAGGGCACATGCCGGGTTGCTGGCTTGATCCTCTGTGTGGAGAGTGCAGGAGGCAGCCGATCAATGATTCTCTCTCATCATTGATGTTTCTCTTTCTCTCTCTCTCTCCCTTCCTCTCTGACATCAATAGAAATACTTTAAACACACACACACACACACACACACACACACACACATACATTTGAAACAAAGTTTTTACACATATACCCAAGAACTTATCCTTCGTGTATGCAGTGAATTCACTGTTGTTTCCTATTCTATTTGTCCTTTCATAAAGGAAATTTGGCTATTACCAATTGCATTGATTTCATGATCCCTAATGAGTCACTCTGTGGTTTGAAAACATGGTTCTAGTTGACTTGAATGGGATGAACTAATGTTGATATTAATATTTCTGCAAGGCCTAAGGAGGTGTCAACTTCTTTCTCAGCGGCTAGCCTCAGGGCAGGAAGAAGGAGGTGAGAGTGGAGTGGTTCCTCTTTGCTCACACCCTGGACCGTCTGCTAAGCCACCATCCACCTCGGGCCGGGCTCCAGGCCCACAGGCCGCCCTCCACACAACCTGCCCATGGCCCGCAATCTCATCTTCCCCTCTCACCTCCTCTCCTCCCCACAGGATGACCACGGAGTACCCCGGCCACTACGGCGAGGACATGGACATGGTGTCCTACAGCTACGATTACTACATGCGCGGAGCCACCACCACCTTCTCCGCAGTGGAAAGGTGAGCTCCCCCCGGGCCAGGGGTTCAAGGAGCAGCTCGAGCTCCATGCCAGGGCCCTGGCTGCAGGACGTCCGAGCTGGGTCCTCACTGTTGTGGCTTCCCACTTGGTCCGGGATTTAGGAGAGACGTGAGCAGGCTGGAGGATGGGAGGTGCTGGGAACTGACTTCTCACAAATGCATTGAGTGGAGCCTTGAGGGGTCCAGCCTGCTCCGGGGCAGAACGTCCCCTCCTGGTAGCCCATGATGCTCTAAGCTCTTCCCTTCACTCCGTTTCAAAAGGTACTTCTTCCAAACGTCAGCGGGAGAGGGCAGCCATGGTGGGAGGGGTACCTCTCAGCACCGGTTCTCCACACCACCCCTTGGTGCGGTGGGGAAACTGAGGGGAGGGGCTGGAGAGAAGCACACCAACCCACCAGCCTATTTAGAAATGTAAGAGGAAAGTTTTAATAACACAAAAGTCAGTAACTTTTCACCCCCTTTTTCTTACAGTCAGCTCCCCAGTCCACCTACACACATCAAGGCAACACAACAAGCAGAGAATAAGGATTCTCCTCCCTCCTAATGCGGAGAGGGGGGTGGGTAAATGCAGGCATTGACAGGTAGATGTGACCTACCTGTAGGCAGGTGAGAACCAGTTCACCCAGCAAACAAGTTCCTGAAGCGTTCCGATGCACTCTTTGCAAAGAGAACAAAGCTTCCGTCAGCTCAGTAGATTGTGGACTGTGATGGATCTGGGTGAGACTTGCCTTCTGTGTACATTTATGTTCATAAATGAAATGACATCTCACCTCACTGAAGTGCACTTAATCAATAAGGTCCACAAATGTAAAAAATTTTTAAAAATTTTTAAAAAAAGTAAACGTTAATTAGCTCTAAAGAGGCTTCCTGAACAAACACGTTCATGTTATCCATGAGAGAACCCTCAGTTCTCAGTTGGGATAATTTTTATTTTAGAAACATTTTAACTAGTTAAGTCACCTATTTTCTAGAAGCAGCAAATTCAAAAATGAACAGGGAAGATAATACTTAGAATGAAAGTTGCTTTAGAGGGAGGAGAAACAGCTGAATGATGTCACACCACACACACACACACACACACACACACACGTATGCACACACACAAGCACACGCACACAGTCTCAAATGCACTCACCTAAGAGAAGTAAAGACCACAGAATTCCACCACACAGGAGCTGGTGCCGTTCAGCTGGCTGTGTAGCCCTGAAGGGCAACTAGGTAACCGGAGAGCGGGGTGCTCAGTGTCTTTAACGACGCCCCACGTCCACAAGAAGATTAGCTCTGAGTCCCTGTATGAAAGGCAGGGGAATCACAGTGAGGAGGAATCCCATTTAAAATTGCTAGAACAGAATTGGATTGGGGCTACTAAATGGCCACTGCCTCCACTCCGCGCTGGCCGAGGCTGAGTGAGTCTCTGAACTCTCACACCCAACCGGCCCTCTTAGCAAACAGGCGGCCGATTCCTGCCGGGCCAGAGGCAGCCCTGCCTTTCCCTTGCTGGGGTTAGGGTGGGCTCCTCGCCTTCACTCCCGGTGGTCTGTGGTCAGTCGTGTTTCCCAAAAGAGCTGCCACAGGGTCAGAACTCAGTCAGAGAAAGAACAAAGGAGCTGTCAGGTGAAATGTGGGCAGTTACCACACGCTGTGCTCCAAGCTGCTAGGGATGGAGCAGTGGGAGCTGACCAGGCTCCACATACCAGCCCCTCATCAGTTCTCCAGGGGCGCTGGGCTGGGTGAGGAAGTGCCCAGGACTCCTGACCTCACAGGCCACACCCCCTCAGTCTTCTGGAGGCTTATGACCTGTCCTCTGAGGGAGAGGGAGGTCCCTTCGGTCCTAACTGTTCTTCGGGGAGACGGGGGGGGGGGGGGAGGCACTCACGGCTTTCGCCCTTCCCAGAGTCCTTTCTCACTGCCATCCTCTCTCTCTCTCTCCACAGGGACCGCCAGTGGAAGTTCATAATGTGCCGCATGACCAACTATGACTGTGAATTCGCAAATGTTTAGATTTGCCTCGAACCAGATCGGGGTGAAGGGGAGAGGCTGGAGGCCCGAGGGTGTCCACCTGTGTTAACTCCAGTGGGGTCCTAGGAGGTTCCTGTACTCTTCCTCCCCCCTGAGCTGGTCAGCGGCTGCAGTGCCAGCTTGCTAAGCCTTTCTGACAACTATCACACTTATAACCAAACCCACAATGAAGACACGTTTCTCACTCTCAACATGCGACTGTTTTATAGGACTGACCATCGCTTTCCTGAAGGCTACATGTATGGTGTGCATGCTCACAGCCCGAGCATCTACTGTGTGTGTGCTCATGGTCTGAGCACCTACACTGTGCATGCACAGCCTGAGCGGGAGCCTGGTCCCTGGAGCCCCCGGGCTGAGAGGCCTGGGAGCTGAGCGCAGGGCAGGTGGAGGAAGGTGGCAGGGAGGGGTCTCTGCAGTTGGGAAGCTGTGTCCTCTCGGAGGACAGGCCTCCCCTTGAGGGACACACTAGCCTGGAAGTTCAGGGCACTGCTCTGTGCTCCCTGCTCCAGGTGAAGGGACTGGGAAGGGAATTGGGAACAGGAGGGCAGGGTAGAGCTGGAGGAAATGACTGGAGATTTTCTGGAGTGGAAGGAGGCCGTCAGCATGCCCAGAAGTGCCAGGAGCACGGGGATCAGTCTCCTGTCAGACAGAAGGGAGAAGAAGAGGAAGGCCCAAGGCTGGACTCCGGTCAGGATGGGGGTGGGGCAGGGAGCGCAGGTTGCTTTGGGAAATGGGACTGGCTTTGAGTCGCAGGAGCCTGGGTTTCCTGGATGGAAAAGGCTGCTCTGGGGGCCCACTCCCCTCCAGTGTGAGTTTAGGGGTGTCCTTGGCAGAGGCGGCACCATCTTCTCCTCCCGTGACGTGTCTGTCCCCAGCCTTTGTACTCTTCATGATAAAAGGAATAAAAATACGAGCATTTCTGTGCTGCAATGGGAAGGGCCAGTGTTTACTACCCCCGCCCCTCGCCCCCTCCAGCTCCCCAGCCATCCTCTAGAAAGCACAACTCCACCAGGCTGTACAGCTGGGCGGGCACCCGGGAGACCGTGAGGTCAGTGGCAGGAATGGCTGGGACCTGAGCGCTCATCGCCCACTGGACACAGGGTGGAGCCGCAGCTCTGCCTCTGCCCCCTCAGCCCCTCCCCTCAGTGCGCCAGGCAGCCTGGCTAGCTCGTTAGTCGGCTGGAGTGCTGTCCTGTACAGCAAAAGGTGGTGGGTTCAATCCCTGGTCAGGGTGGGGTCAGGAGGCAGCTGATCAATGTCTTTCTCTCTCTCTCTCTCTCTCTCTCTCTCTCTCTCTCTCTCTCTCTCTCTCAAAAAAAAACAACAAAAAAAAAAAACTTGAGGATTTTAATAAAGAATATATCACATGCGTTTTTAACCACAGAAGTACCTCTGTCCTTTAGACACAGTTTGCCTTCTGCTTTCAGATCTGAGCTGCCCTGTGGACCAGGAGAGCACATACCAGGTGGCCAAGAAGGTGGTGTGGCCAGGGGCTGCCTGGCTGGGAGATGCCGGCACGGGAAGGAGAAGGCAGGGCTAGGATGGCCTCCTCGGCCTTAACTGGAGGTCCTTTCTCAGCTGTGTGGGCTCCCCTGTTGTTCCCACCCCCCCCCCCAAGCCCCTTCTCCCCCGAAAAATCTTACTTGCCAACAAGCCTCACATGTTAATTCTCACAAGAGGGGCCATTAGTATTTGAGGGATCGCAGCCCTGGGTCAGGGCCACAGGAAAGGGCTGCGCTGGGTGTGGGGCGAGCTCAGCGGGAAGGGGACAGCAAGGTGGCTGGCTGACCTGCAGAGCGACCAGGAAAGTTTCCCTCCGGGAACGTCCCTGTGACCATGGAGCCAGGACAGCTCAGTGCAGACGTGGTGCCCTCGGTTCAAACCCGAGTTACCGAGCTTTCCGTCGTATGTCAGTCAGGCGGGGAGAGCTAAGTCCGACCAGGCCTATCTGCCAGACTGTCTGACTGCACACTCCCTCTCTTGTTTCCATGGTGATCCTCCTGCCAGCCTCCTCCTCAGCTCGGACGAGCCACCCCCGCATTTCCCGGGACCTTGGCCTCCTTTGTTGCTGGCTCCTGGCCGTCCTAGGATCCTGTGAGAGCCATTATCCAGCCTATTTACATGGGCTTTGCTGAGGTGTCTTACAGAGAACACGCCGGGGGGAGTGGAGAGCTGGGGCCCACCCCTGCTCTGACCGAGGATGGCTCCCTGCCACTGTCTCCTCGCCAGCCTGGCAGGGACAGGAAGCCGCTCCCCAACCACCCCCATGTGGAATGGGGAGAAGAGACGTGGGTCGCCCCTCCCAGGCCCACGGTCTCACAGGGGATGTGAGAAGATAGACAGGGAAGGCGGGGCCCTGCAGCAGCCCAGGCGATGCTGGGCCCTGAGGGACAATAGGAACCCCCACCCCTGCTTTCACCCCAACACCAGGGCCCAGGAAGTCCCCTCGCCATCCGGGCTCTTCAACACATACCATCTTTATGGCCAATGGCTTTGGCCCAGAATGAAAGCCAACTTCTTTCTAGTTTCCTTAGAACCATGGTCGGCAAACTGCGGCTCTTTGGCCCCTTGAGTGTGGCTCTTTTACAAAAGACCACAGCCTGGGTGAGTCTATGTTGAAGAATTGGCATTAGAAGAAGTCGAAGTTTAAAAAATTTGGCTCTCCAAATAAATTTTAATCGTTGTCCTGTTGATATTTGGCTCTGTTGATGAGTGAGTTTGCAGAACACATCCTCTTGAAAGCCTCAGTGGCTGTATTAGCTCAAAAAGAGAACCTTCCGTGTAGACGGTTCCTTCTCTCACAGTCTTCCCTGTCGCCATGCAGCACAGGCTGCCTGTCTCCGGACCCTTCTACCTTCCCGTTGGGCAGTCGGCCATCCCTTGAGGGGTCCCAGATTGGAGAGGGTGCAGGCTGGGCTGAGGGACACAACCCCCCGTGCATGAATTTCATGCACTGAGCCTCTAGTAGTAGTGATGATGATAATAATAATAATAATAAATAATAATAGGCTACTTACTAATGGTGGGTGAGTTGGAAAGCACACTTGCCTGGTCACGATTGCCACTTACATGCTCAGGAAGTGTGTGTCACAATACTTGGTGCCTGAATGCCAATTGGTGTGTTTTTATGGCCTCTGGGCTGTGAGCAAACCAGCATCCGAGCGGCAGCCCAGGACTAGGCACGGGGTGGGCATTGTAACCCTGTGCCCATTTGAACACTGTTATTTTCACCAGCAGACAGCCCCGGTGTGGGTGCAGGGTTTGGTTTTGTTGGCTGTGTCCCCTGCACCACAAATACTCCATGAAGAGTAAAGCAGAGTGCCAGGACAAGCCCTGGCACAGATGTGGCCCCATGAGCAGCTTCCATGGCCCTGTGTCCCGTGCCACGCCCGTGGAGAGTTTGCCGGTGGGTCAGCGGGTGCTGGCGGGCAGGACAGCCAGGCCGCTGTTCAGAGCTGGGTGTTTCCTGACACGTGGTGCCTGGCGGACACGCATGGCCTCTCTGTGACCGGGTACTCACTGACGTGGCTGGCTCCCTGGGCCCCTTTGTTGGCAGATGCAGCAGTGAGCTCATGAGCCATTCCTCCCCAGAAACATGTTCTTGGAAGTCACACACATGCTCTGAGCCACGCTGCCTGTCCCTCGCCTGGACCATGCCATGCTGGGCGGGGTGCTCTGCCCAGGGCTCCTCGGGCACAGATGAAAAGCCACAGGCGTCACACGGGGGCAGAAAACCGAGAAGAGGTGGGCACGTGGGGAATGGGGGCAGTGGGGGGATGCACCCTGCTTGTTCTAACCCGAATCTCCATGGCTGTGCCCCTGCACATACGCTGTCACCGACAAGGTGTCATTGACCTCTGCTTTGTTCCTTACAAACTGGAGGAGGCCAAGAAGCACAAACATACACTTTTCCTTGGGGCGGGGGAAGGGAGGGACCCGGATATGGAGACAAAAAGTAACACCCGGAAAGTTTAATACACAGAGGAAGACGGCTTACGCCCCCGGGCAGCGAGCGATGCCCAGGCTGTGGGCAGAGGGAAGGCAGGACAGGCAAGAAGAGGTTGGCACCAGAGTGAGGGTGGGGGTGTGGGGGCTGCCTGCTTGAGCCAGCCATCGAAGTGAGGCGCCCCCGAGGCCTGAGGGAAACCTCGGGACACACCGCCCACTGCCACATCTCACACGGGAATGCCTCGCCCGAGGACGCCGGGGAGGCGTGGCTAAGCCCTGCCAGAACCTGGCTCCGGGGACTGAGCCTGGAAATGGTCTCCTGGGTCCTGTCCGGGTTTAGCAAGCGGGCAGGACAGGGACTCGGCTGCCACCCCACGCTCTGTGGCTTTCCGTGGCACCCGCTGTGTCTCGGGACGGCGCCTGCGGGTCTGGAGGTTTCTCCCCACGTCAGGGTTGCCCCATCGGTGGAAGGGGACTTGGAACCCAGACTCTTCCCAAAGCCCCGTTTCTCTGCGCTGTGACCTGGAGTCGGGGTTCCACTGAGCTGTTTTCACTCTTCTATGTTTTCACTCTTTTATGCTTCCAAGCCTACTGCTGCCCAACGAGAAGAGGGACCCGCAGTCTCACCTGGCATCGGACACACTGCCCTCGGAGGTCAGCGAGCTCCCTGACTTATCCCTGGTCGCGTGGCCAGTCCCCACCCCCATCGCCATGGCAGCCAGGTCTCCTGCGGCTGCCACAGCCCCTGTCTGCTCTGAAATGGCTCCTGCACTAACCCCCAGGCCCACCAATGCGCTCTGGCCCGAGGAGGCAGCTCTGACCTGAAGGTGCAGGGAGAAGGGTCGCTCCACCGAGAGCCCCAGCCTGGGCCCTCGGCTGCGTCTCCACCGCTTCCTCCCGGGACCGGCTCACCCACAAGCACTTCACCCTTGGCTTTTTGAACCCCGCACCTGCTCTGGGAACAGAACCGAGTGAGGCTGACGGCAGCCCCTCCTCCCGGGAGGTTCTTTCCAGCAGAAACCAAGACGATGCTG